GCCTGACGGACGCTTGGTGTCTCCAGTTCCCTGGTGCCACTCAGATCCCCCGCTAGGGCGAGCTGCTTAGGTCGTGGGTTGCTATATTTGATCTGAATTATGATGCTATTCTTGCTGCCATGTATGTTGTGTCTTCTAGTGATGAGGGTGACTGTTACCTGTGTGTTCCGCCTGACTCGGACATTGAGGCTGCTCTTCTAGGTGTTGGTGACGCTACTGCTCTAGGTGCTAGTGCGTCTGCTGCCCGAGGTGCTGGTGAGTCTGCTCTCACAGGTACCATGTAGGCTCAGGCCGTACACACCTTCACCCTTGACTCAGGTGCTTCCCGCTCCTTCTTCCGAGACCGCACCACGCTTATGCCGCTTAGTCGGCCGGTTGCGGTCTCCCTGGCGAACCCCTCTGGAGGTCCTGTCCTTGCCCACTTCTCCACTGTCTTACCGTGTTCGGCGGCCCCCTCTGGCACCCTGTCAGGTCTCTACCTCCCCTCGTTCTCTACGAACTTGGTGAGTGGTGCTGATCTACAGGATGGGGGGGTTGACCAGTTTATTCCTGCGAGTCAGCGAGTGACCCACTGTACGTGTGCTTGGACGGGCCGATACTTGGCCACGTTTACCCATCAGCGGGGGTCAAGCCTGTACACACTGACCACTGAGTCTTCTCAGTTGCTAAGTCTGGTCAGGTAGCTGCGTCGGGTTCGGTGTTTGCTGCAGCGTCCAAGTCTGGTCCTGAGTCTGCTCCCTGCTCGTGTCGTCTCCTGTCCCACCGGACTCTCCTCTGGCACCCCTCCCTACCTCGTCTCCGAGTCATGGCCTCCCGTTACCTTGTCTCTGGTCTCCCCCGGTCCCTCCCTCCCCTACCTCCGGGGCCTGCCCCTACCTGCGTTCCCTGCGTTGAGGGGCGGCAGCGCGCCGCCCCTCACTCCTCTGAGTTTCCTCCGACAGAGTCTCCACTGCAGACTCTTCACATGGACGTGTGGGGCCCCGCCCGCGTCCGTGGCCAGGGTCACGAGCGTTACTTCCTGTTGGTGGTTGACGACTACTCGCGTTACACCACGGTGTTCTCCTTGCGCAGCAAGGGTGACGTCACTGAGGTGTTGATCGACTGGATCCGCGCAGCTCGTCTCCAGCTCCGGGAGAGTTTCGGCTCGGACTTTCCTGTTTTACGTCTGCACTCGGACAGAGACGGGGAGTTTTCCTCTGGCCTTCTGGGAGCCTTCTGTCGTGCACAGGGCATCCGCCAGACGTTCACGCTTCCGGCCTCTCCAAAGCAAACTGGGATTGCTGAGCGCCGCATTGGCATGGTCATGGACGTCGCTCGTACGTCCATGGTCCATGCGGCTACTCCCCATTTTCTGTGGCCGTTTGCGGTTCGGTATGCGGCGCATCAGATCAACCTTCAGCACTGGGTCTCCTTGCCAGAGACCGCCCCCACCTTGCGGTGGACGGGGAAGGTTGGCGATGCGTCTGCGTTTCGTGTCTGGGGATCTCGGGCGTTTGTCCGCGACTTGTCTAAAGACAAGCTGTCCCCCCGTGCTGTTCCTTGCGTCTTCCTTGGCTTCCCCTCTGACGCGCCTGGTTGGCACTTTTACCACGCCACCTCGCGCCGTGTTCTGTCCTCCCAGGACGTCACGGTTGATGAGTCGGTGCCTTACTACCGTCTCTTCCCCTACCGCACTGCGCCCCTCCCCCCACCGCCGTTCTTCCTCGCGCCATGTCCCCCCCTGGTAAACCCTCTCCCCCCTCAGGGTCCTGCCCCGTCACGTGTGTCCCAGGTAGACGCAGTCGAGCCTGTCAAGTTAGCTGTTGACTCTGGTGCTGCTGGGGGTGCTGAGCCTGGGGGTGCTGAGTCTAGGGGTGCTGAGCCTGGGGGTGCTAAGCCTGGGGGTGCTGAGCCTGGGGGTGCAGAGCTTGGGGGTGCTGAACCTGGGGGTGCGGAGCCTGGGGGTGCGGAGCCTGGGGGTGCTGGGTCTGCTCGTGTGGCCTTTGGCGGTGCTGGGTCTGGGAGTCCTTCGGGTGCTTTGTCTCGGCGGGAGCTACCCTCTCCACAGGAGCTGCGCAAGTGGTTTGCTAGGCGCAGGAGCCGTGCTGCTGGAGCTAGAGGTGCTACTGGTGCTGCTGACCCTCGGGTCGGCGCTGGAGGTACTGGAGCCATTGGTCCTGGAGGTGCTCGTACTGGTGGTACTAGAGCTGCTGCGACTGAGGGTACTGGAATTGGTCTTGCTGGAGGTGCTGCTGGTGCTGTTGGAGGTACTGGAGCTGCTGGTGCTGCTGGGGGTTCTGGAGCTGCTGGGAGTGCTGGCGTTGGAGGTACTGCTGGCGCTGGTGCTTCTAAGGGTGTTGGAGTTGACGCTGCTGGAGCTGGAGGTGCTGCTGGCGCAGGTGTGGCCGTTGGGGGTGCTGGTGCTGTCCCTGCTGGTTCCGGAGGCGCTGCGCGGCCACGACCGTACTTCGTTTCGCTCCTTGAGCAGGTTCTTGGTCTCCCGCCTTCTACTGGTCCTGCTCCTCCCTTAGAGTGTCCACAGCCTGTCCAGTCGCAGTCACAGTCACAGCTCGCCTCCCCACTGCCTGCTCCTTCTCCCTACACTAGTCCTACTGGATGTCTTGCTGAGCGTCGTGCGCCTGAGTCTCGTCCAGTGTCGCTTGTTCGTGCTGCTCGCGCCAGTCGTCTTGTTCCGCGTCAGCGTCCTCCTGCTGCCCCGGGCACGCACCAGATGGCACTGCGTCCTTCCATTGCCTTGCAGCGTGTCCCGTTGCCGTCTCCTCCAGAGTCCTCTCTTCCTGCTCTTGCTGACCCGGAGTCTGACTCTCTTCGTGCTGCCAGTCCTACTGTCACGCGTCTCCTGGATACTGCTGTAACTGATCCTTTCTTTGAGTCCACTGCCACGTCTGCCTTAGTTGCTGAGCTTGTTGACTTCGCTGCTCACTATCGTGTAGACTACACCGCGAGTCTTGTTGTTGAGTCTGAGTCTGTCTGTCCTCCATCCGTCGGGGGTGAGTGTGCTCTTAGCACGGACGTCCTTGAGAACAGGCAGGAGGAATTCCAGTGTTTTGCTGCTGCTTTGTCTCATCTCATGTCCATGCCAATTGCCCCTGAGGGAGACCCGGATGCACCAGACATCCCGACTCCGCGCTCTTACGCAGAGGCGATAGAGGGTCCCTAATCCTCTCAGTGGCAGTCAGTCATGGACGTAGAGATGGCTTCCTGGAAGTCCACAGGCACCTACGTCCATGAGGTTCCCCCACCTGGGGCGAACATCGTCAGTGGCATGTGGATTTTCAGGGTGAAGCGGCCTCCGGGTTCTCCGCCTGTCTTCAAGGCACGTTACGTGGCTCGAGGCTTTAGTCAGCGGCACGGAGTTGACTAATTTCAGACCTACTCTCCCACCCCGAAGATGACCACTCTTTGGGTACTGCTGCATATAGCCGCTCAGCGCGACTACGAGCTTCACTCTCTTGACTTCAGCACAGCTTTCTTGCAGAGCAACCTGCACGAGGAGATCTGGCTGCGCCGCCCACCTGGCTTCACTGGGTCGTTTCCTGCAGGTACCCAGTGGAGCCTCCAGCGGCTAGTCTACGGTCTCTGCCAGGCGCCCCGTGAGTGGCACGACACACTGAGGACTACACTTGCGGCTCTTGGGTTTGCTCCTTCTACTGCCAGCCCGTCGCTATTTCTGCGCACCGACATCTCTTTGCCGCCGTTCTACATCGTCGTGTACGTCCACGACTTGGTCTTTGCCACTGGTGACACTACTGGACTCGCCCACGTGAATTTCGAGCTGCAGAAGAGACACACGTGCACAGACCTGGGTGAACTGCGCAGCTACCTTGGCTTGCAGATCACCCGGGATAGAGCACAACGCACCATTACCCTGACTCAGTCACACATGGTGCAGCAGGCCCTTCAGCGCTTCGACTTCACGTACTCCTCGCCTCAGGCTACTCCTCTGTCTACTCGCCACTCGCTCTCAGCTCTGCCTTTGGATGAGTCCGTAGAGCCGAGTGGCCCGTACCCAGAGCTTGTTGGCTGCCTCATGTACCTGATGACCTGCACACGACCTGACCTTGCATACCCTCTTAGCATCTTGGCACGCTATGTTGCTCCTGGGAGACACCGACCAGAGCACATGGCTGCAACAAAGAGGGTGTTGCGCTACTTGTGCAGTACGTCGGACATGGGGCTAGTGCTTGGAGGGCGGCGTTCAAAGGTCCTCAGAGGTCACGCAGACGCTTCTTGGGCTGACGACTAGGCTACGCAGCGGTCGTCAAAAGGTTACACTTTCAGCCTTGATTCTGGCTCTGTTTCATGGCGATCTACCTGCTCGTGTTCTGTTCTCGGCTCCAGCTGTGAGGCTGAGATCTATGCGGGGGCCATGGTTGCACAGGAGCTACGCTGGCTCACCTACCTGCTGACTGACCTAGGAGAGCCGCCTCGTTCTCCTCCAGTTCTGTACGTAGACAACAAGACCATGCTGGCCTTGTGTTGGGAGCACAGACTGGAGCACAGAACGAAGCACATTGCTCTTCGCTACTTCCTTGCTCGTCAGCTGCAGCAGCGTGGTCAGCTGCGCCATGCTTACGTGACCTCTGAGGCCAACACTGCTGATATCTTTACCAAGGCATTTCCGCCTTGTGATCATCAGCGCTGCTGTACGATGCTAGGTCTTGTGCCTCCTTGGCCTCATTTGCTCACTTCTTGACGTTGCTTGAACTGTGATCTTTCTATACTCGCACTTGCTTGTTTCCTTTTATATATGATCTTGCACGTGAACTGGCCTTGTGGCCTTGAACTTATGCTCGGAATGTCTGGTGACGTTGTGATCCACCCTGAGCTTGCTGTGCTTTGCTTGATTAGTCTTGTGACCTCTTGTTCTCCCCCACTTTGTCTATGGGGGTGTGTCAGACTTATATGACTTAGCTTATATAGGCTATAGTGGGGTAGCACATATGGGGTACAACACTTTTTTAGGGTTTGTACTTGTACCCAACCTTTCCACTAGTAAATCATTCCTCGTAATCTTCACACTGGGAGGGCACGGAGAGACGGGCGGGATGGGAGAGAAGGTAGGGAAGGGAGGGCAGGGAGGGCAGGGAGGGCAGGGAGAGAAGGGCGGGAAGGGAGAGAAGGTAAGGAAGGGAGGGCAGGGAGGACAGGGAGAGAAGGGCGGGAAGGGAGAGAAGGTAGGGAAGGGAGGGCAGGGAGGGCAGGGAGAGAAGGGCGGGAAGGGAGAGAAGGTAGGGGAGGGAGGGCAGTGAGGGCAGGGAGAGAAGGACGAGAAGGGAGAGAAGGTAGGGAAGGGAAGGCAGGGAGGGCAGGGAGGGCAGGGAGAGAAGGGCGGGAAGGGAGAGAAGGTAAGGAAGGGAGGGCAGGGAGGACAGGGAGAGAAGGGCGGGAAGGGAGAGAAGGTAGGGAAGGGAGGGCAGGGAGGGCAGGGAGAGAAGGGTGGGAAGGGAGAGAAGGTAGGGAAGGGAGGACAGGGAGGGCAGGGAGAGAAGGGCGGGAAGGGAGAGAAGGGAGAGGGAAGGGAGGGTGGTGAGAACAGGAGGCGGGGAGAGGAGAACGAGGCGGGGAGAGGAGATCGGGAGGCGGGGAGAGGAGAGCGGTGTCAGAATGTTATCTTATGTTCTAGCCTGTAGTGGGGTGCTCTATAGCGAGTACAACCCTTCTAGGGTTTGCTATTTGTATCCCCATTTCTGCTAGTTCAACCCTCTTTCTTCCTTCTAATTTTGTCATGCTATCAGAGCAGGTCGATCCTCTTGGATCGACCCTGTGGGTGGGCTTACCACCTCTTAGCTTCCGCTGCTACTACTGCAACTACTCTCTAAGCCGCACGCCCCGTGGCGTGCGGCAATTTTTCTTCCCGCCGTGCGCCCCGAGGCGCGCGGCGGTTCTCTGCCCGCTGTGCGCCCCGAGGCGCGCGGCGGGCTTCAGCCCCGTCGACCGGCGTGTCGCCCACGGGAGGCGCCGCGACGGGCGACGGGGACCCGGTCGTCACCTCCCATCGCCCGTCGTGGCCTACGCGCGGCCCGTACAGGCAGCGCGCGGCCCGTATGGGCTGCGCCAGGCCCGCGCGCGTCCCGTATGTGCGGCGCCGGGCCCGCGCGCGGCTCGGGCCGCCTCCCTACCTGCGGCCCGTCGCCCCGCCGTCCCGCCTCCCTACCTGGCCGCGGCCCCGTCGTCCCGCCGCCCTACCTGCGGCCCGTCGCCCTACCTGCGGCCCCGGCCCCGGCCCCGTCTCCCTACCTGCGACCCTACCAGGCCCGTGGTGGGCCCCTTCCTCCACACCGCCTCCCCCCCCCCCCCCCCCCCTTTTCCCGTCGCCCGTCGCGGCTCCTTCGGGGGCCGCCTGTGGGGTGGCGCGTATGGGGGTGGTACTTCTCATTCCTCCCTTTGCTCCTCCTCCTCCTTCATCTCCCACTGCTGCAGCTGTCGCTGAGGGGGGTGGATGTGTGGGAGACTGGGTTTAGGGTTTAAGGGGGGTGGGGTGGGAGTGGAGCTAGGGGTGTAGCAGTGGGTGTGTGTCGGGGAAGTGGGACTGTTTGGGGAAGTTGCACGGAGGTTGCCGTCGTGTCGCCAGCAGCACCTGTAGTCCGGGGACTTCGTCCGGTAGCCCAGTCGTAGCCAGCTGTGCCAGCCGCCCGTGGGTCCGTTGCCCGTCTGCCGCTACTTGAGCCGCGGGGCCTGTTACTCCTGTATTCCGGGGGCTTCGCCCGGTAGCAGCTGTGCCAGTCCGCCTCCTGTTGCCCGTGTGTCTGCAGCTTCAGCCGTCGCCTCCTATCTCCTCTCCTCTCACTCTCTCTCCTCCTCCTCACTTGCCCGTTGTGACTACCACTAGCTTTGCTCATAATTATGAACTCTAAACTATTGCTTCTTTAACTTGTGCTCAGAATGTGTGGTGACATTGTGATCCACCCTGAGCTTGTACTGCTTTGCCTGCTCTGCTGATTACACCCCACTTTGGCTATGGGGGTGTGTCAGAATGTTATCTTATGTTCTAGCCTGTAGTGGGGTGCTCTATAGCGAGTACAACCCTTCTAGGGTTTGCTATTTGTATCCCCAATTCTGCTAGTTCAACCCTCTTTCTTCCTTCTAATTTTGTCAAGCGGGAGGCGGGGAGAGGAGAACGAGGCGGGGAGAGGAGATTGAGAGGCGGGTAAAGGAGAACGGGAGGCAGGGAGAGGAGAACGGGAGGCAGGGAGAGGAGAACGGGAGGCGGGGTGAGGAGATCAAGAGGGGGAGAGGAGATCGCATGGCGGGAATGGGAGAACGGGAGGCAGGAAGAGGATCGGGACTTGGGAAGGGGAGAATGGGATGCGGGAAGGGGAGAAAGGGAGTCGGCTGGAGTTTTGTACGGATGGTGGAAAGGGGAGATTGAGAGGCGGGCAATGGAAAACGCGAAGCTGGAAGGCGAGAATTGCGTGCGGGAAGGTGACATTGAGAGGCGAATAGGGAAGTTTGGGAGGCGGTAATAGGATCCTGTAGTGAGGCGGGATGGGAGTAGGGTTGGAGAGCGAAGCTAGCGGGACCGTGTGGCCGTTTCGGTTCCGTGTCGCGAACACACCTGTGACTTGATCAGCTAGTGCGGAAACGGGCACGCCCTTCCACAGAGCTGTGCGTGGCAACTGCGATTCTGCTAGTGCGTGCCGCTACTAGGCACTCTACAGAGTCGCTCGTCATATTCTTAGTGGCGTGAGGGACCAGCCTGATGCGGCGAAGCCAAGCCGCCTTGGGCGACGAGGGGATGCAGCTCGGCGCGAAGAAATCACCTAATATAGGCGTGGCGGGATTTCGAACCCTGGCTCTATACGGCGCCTTCGGCAGCGCGGCGACGGCTTGAGCTATGGCGTGGTCCGGCGTCAGTGCGCAGCGATGAGGCAGCAACGGGTCGAGGCTGCGAGGGGAAGGCACGGCGAAATGTCGGAGGATATGACGAGAGATAGCATTTGGAGTGGGCGAGTGGGCTACGCAGGAATTGGATCGAGTATACTTTTGGCAAAACTAAAACTTTTGGCCCCGTGGTGAGCGTTAGGACGTGTGTGAAATAAGGGTTTATGAAAGTTCACGTTTTTTACTCGATTTAAGCAGGGTTTTATAACCTGAACTTGAATCGATTTTGAGATGTGGCAAGGTTCGCACCGCGAGTGCAAATTCTTGTATACTCACAATCACACACCAAGGTGCGAATTTGCAAGTTCGAATTTACAGAGGGGGAACCGAGCCGCAATTGGAGACTGTAGGTTACCCGGTTTCAAGCACACCACAGCGCGACACGTCACCGGAGCGCTGCTAAAAAAAGTGAGCCCTAGACCTCCAGCTCAACTTCACATCTGTGGCAGTTGTGCACGATACAAATATCGACGAGATGAACCAATTTCCAAGTCAGCATCTCACAATGACTCTCATTCAGCTCGTGCGTTTCCTGGGGATTGTGCTTCAAGGCTACCTGCGATGCCTCGTACTTCCAATGCTCACTGCCATTGGTGCGGCCATCCCCAGGCTCGTCGCTGCCTTCACTCTGCGACAGACCCGCGTCTTCGTCCGTGGGGATCGCCAGGATGCCCGCATCGTGTGCGCTGGGAGAGACGCGCGCACGACTAGCCATCGTGGCACGAATTGTGCCACGTGGTGGCCATAGCGAGTTCAGCAATGCGCTGTGTCTTGGTTGTGATCTCATTGGCGCACGAATGAGTCGCGAGGTTCGCTGAAACCTCGTACGTGCCTGACACCACACACGTTTGGATCTTTGTGTTTGTGCAAGTTCACGAATTTTTCTGTATCAAGTTCACAAATGAGGGTTCGCACTTCCCAAACGGGGAATTTGTTTCGACTTCGGCGAGGCGGTTAGCGAACATTGGCGAAAAGGGTAACCACCAAAAGTTCGACCCTGATTACGAACTCCATAAAAAATCTCACACGTCCTTAGCAGGGGAGTGGAGACCTTGACTTTCCCGCTGTGCAGGTTGTAACTTGGTTACCAGGCTGTACCATTTATAAACTTTGGGCTTTGGCCCTGTCAAATGTATACCGCTGCTTTAAGACATGGCTTGAAAAAGGTGGTGGCAACCAAACAGCTTGCCGACGAAAAAGCTCCGATTTCTGCGAGGCCCCAAATTCGCTCGCACCCCTGAACGGTTACATCGGGAGATGTGTTCGGGGAGGATTCGCAGAGTGCGCCTCGCCTCCCCAGCCTTTTTCCCCCCCATTCCACACCAAGCCGAAAATTGTCCAACCAGCTGTGAGACATTTCCCAATCACCCGCCCCCCCCGTTCTCCCCCCCCCCCCCCCCTCCGCCGACGCGAATCCCCGCTGCCCAGCGGTATTTGCGAGTTCAGCCTTGGAATTTTCGGAGCGCGCTTCACTGGCCCGTCATGATCGAGGGGCCCCTCTTCTCCGTACAAGAGACTTCAGTAGGAGCCGTTCCCAAGCAGACATAGTTTGTGCCGTCTTGTCCTGTCAGACTTCATCAACCATTGCTCCCACGAAGACGCACATTTTAGTTGATGAGTTGTGCGTTTGCCACATTTGTCCCTCACTGGTGTCGCACTGCTCCCTTCTTGGAACGTTTAGTTCCGTAGCTCCGTAATTGATACATTTGAGGGTAAAAAATAGAGGAGATCGGTTAGATAACTTCAGTTAACGATCGTGTTTTGCGCGCCAATTGTGACTGCTTAGGTGGTAGTTTATAGCAGTATATACTTTCAGATAGCGCCGCTGGCAGCAGCATCAGCAGCGTCGACCTCTAAGTTCTCAATGGACGATGCGCGAATCAGCATCGTCGCGGGGTTCATCGCAGGTGTCGCAGAGGTCCTCGTAGGGTATCCGTTCGACACGGTGAAGACACGAATGCAGTCGCAGGATCACGCGGAGTCGCCACTGCTTCCAGCTCACCGAGACAGCAACAGCCATGGCTGCTCGGGTCAACACCGAGCGGCTAACAATCAGCATTACAGCTCTCCATGGAGCTGCGCGGTCGCGACGTACAGAGCCGAAGGAATTGGTGGCTTCTACCGCGGTATTGCCGCTCCGATGCTACAAGTAAGCCCGAAATCGCCATTCATTGTGCTCGTGTCCGTCCGCCTATGCGTCACGTCTTCACCCTCGTCGCCGGAATGCAGGACTGAATGCCGCTCTGTCAACCCAAAATTCTCGTTTGACACGGTTTCTGGTTCGTTTTCGATCGTGCAGGAAGCGGTGGGTGTGGCACTTCTCTTCGGCACGCGCGATTGGCTCCGAACGGCAATAGGTGCTGATATCAGCAGACCAGGGCTATTTATCCTAGCCTGCTCCATCATCGGCCTTCTAGAGTCTTTGATATACTGCCCCCTAGATCATCTAAAGACACGCATTCAGGTCCGGGGGCAACGACTGAAGCACCAAATACTGCATTCGTCTACCGCTCCCTCTCTCCCGCCCCTGGATGCCTCCAAGCATTCGTCTAACAATACAAAGACTCCCGTGATTAGCGCAGGGTCGATAGCAGGGATGGGACACGAGGGAGCTTGTGTATCACTCTCGCTAACGCCGGCCACGGCTTACTGCATAGGCGTAGGTCCGGGTCTCTTGGCGTCGAAGGAGACGCACGGGGATTTACCTCCTCTAGGCGTGACCATGGGCGTGGTGATGGGGAAGGACATGCACGGCGAGCTGATGGGTATCTTCAGCGCCGCGCGCAGCGTTATCCGGGCGAGGGGAGTGCTGGGATTGTACCTGGGGTTCGTCCTGCAGGCGTGCAAGGAGATGCTGGGCAACGTCGCCTTGTTCGCCACGTATGATGTCGCTCTCGCGCTCTTCAGTGGCACCAGCCTCGTGCCTGGGGGTGCGCATGGAGCACACATGCACGCCGGCCAGTCGTGGATGGCGATCTGGCCTGCAGGAAGCCTTGCGGGGATGGCCTATTATCTGGTAAGCACATGTGAGGAAGGAGGCAAAGAAAATGAGAATGCGTTCAATTCACCAGACTTTTCTTCGCACAAAGAGTTCAAAACATCTCGTGAATGTCCATTTTACCCCTCCCTTCCAGATTGGCTTCCCCTTTGACACGATCAAGACTCGCCTACAGACTGACTCCCTCACGCACCCTCGCTATCGTGGCTCCCTGCACTGCGCGTGGAACGTGCTGCGCCACGAGGCTTCGTTCTCCGAGCTCTATAGAGGTGTCTCTGCTTGCCTCGCTCGAGCCATTCCGGGTTGTGCTGTGCAATTTTTTGTCTTCGAGGCTGCTCACCAGTTCATCACGCAATTGGGTTCTCAAATAGTTCCCAGTATACAGCCTGACAGCAGATTTGGAATAGGTGGCTTCGCCTCTGTTGGAAGTACAATAGGAGTGGACCAAGAGAAGTTGTGGGACTTGCTAGCTGGGTGGAGCTGATAGGGGGTGTTGATGCCTATAGATATTGTAGGTAGTTTATGTGTTGTGAGATGGCATGTTCAGTGCACCTCAGGGCTGACGTTTCAAATTTGGGTACACTGATGGTGCAAAAAAAAAAAAAAAATTACTCTGAGGGCACTTCGGCCAGATTTTGGCCACTCTGATGGCTCAGTCTCCAGGAAACCCTTTCCCTGTGGTCACAGGGTTGGCGAACTATGATCAGAGTGCTATTTCTATCATTTGTTAATTCTTACACAAGCAATGTCAACAATGCCCGGCCGGGTTAAGGGTTCACACAAGACAGCACCTTGAATCCTACTTTGTCGGCTGATCTATGTCATACATCTCGTCCCCCTCCTCGCCATCCGAGAGGAACGGGTTAACATCTTCCTCTAAGTAATCTCAGGGCGGTGACTGCTCTATCTCCTGATCCATCTCCGGGTTGTCGTCACGATCATCGTCTTACTCCGCGAGCTCCTCCTCGCCCGCCGGCTCCCTGGGTTCCTCCTCTTCCTCCTCCAGTTCCTTCTCCTTTCGCTTGCGATCGTCAGATGGGAACAGAACGCTCTGCGCAGGGCGCCTCTTCTTGAGGCTTTTCCAGGTGTCGAGCACCCCAGGCCATTCCATCTCGTAATGCAGCAGCGAGATCTGCATCAGCTCCGCGAGCCGCGCGTTGCAGAGAGACCCACGGATCCACGACTTGATCACGTTCTGACGCGAGAACCCCCGCTCGCACTCCACAGTGGAGAGTGGCAGGACTGCCAACGCCTGCCACATCAGCAATAGGTTGGGCCAGCGCCTGCACAAAACAAGGAGCATCATTTTTCCCGAAGCGTTAGATTTGAGACATGCATGTGGCACACGCAGACTAGGTGGACTTACCTATTGGCGTCGCCACTCCCCATGAAGTTCGCCAGTCCCTGCGCGAATGACTCGTCCTCGTGGTGAGACTCCATGATTGGGCACCATGTTGCCAGCTCCTGCGACGCTTTCTTGTGATCAAATCCCGGCAGCTTGTTCTTGAACAGAGCGGCGCAGCCAGTCAGCCAGTCGTGGCACTTGCGGT